TGCACTTATTTATAAAGATCTCGTTTAAGTAAACCATAGAAGGTACTTACGTGGGGGGGGGGGGGTATTGAATTCCTTTGAAAATAGTCCAATTATTTGTTATTAATTTTAAACTTTAGCCTAAAAAGTATTAATGTTATGTATGCTAGGAAGAGCAAACCTATATACACACTGATAGTTGCTTTCGAGTGTTGAGTATGTTTGATGATTTCAATGAATTTATCTTTATTTTTATGTTATTTTTTTATCGTTTAATTTTAAAAGTTTAAATTACTTAGTTTTACCAAATATCACGATTGAAACTAACGCTATATTTCCATATATTACATAATACATTAATTGTTTATCGTGACTGAAACTAACGTTAGGCTTATATATATATATATAAACCAACGGGTGGGAATGGAGCATTGTTAATGGCAAGTAGCATCCTGTTCAGTTCTAATGCTCCACTGTTCGACACTCAATCATCTATGATGTTTAGGTTTTGGATACGTTTCAAATAGGGTGACTTCATGTGAAAACTCTGTTTTATATAATATTATAGTCAAATCAAAATGGTTTTTAGCTGTCTTCATCCTTTAGTTCGAGTGTTATTGGAGACATTGGTCAGTTTCTTGTAATTTAGAGTGTCTTGACCATCCTACGACTATTGCTAGGAAAAATGATATACAAAAGTCACAATCTTTGTTCGTGGATTGCACTTTCTAATAACGTTAACCCTAAGCACATGGCGAATAATTCTCTCTTTTATAATTTACAGAAGTCTTTCAACTGCATAGTTAAAATTCAATTACTGTTATTCGTAAAATGTGAATCCGGTTTTATTAATTTTAGTATACGAGTTCAATCCGTGTTTAGAATGTTATTTTCCGCATAGTGAAAACTAATTTATTTTCAGGCAGTGATTCATTAGATATATATATACACACATAAAGTTTGTTTCAGTAATATGTTTACCTTTGTTGCCTAAGTATAATAATTATTATTTTACATCGAACATCATGGACGTTGATATTGTTTTATATGATAATATCAATATAAGCATCTTAACGACAACTAGTATTTACAAAAAAAACACGAGAGAAATATGTGAAGGCTTCGTGGTTAATGTTCTCTTTGATGAAAACAATTACAAATTGTTCCTTTCAAACATTATATCTGTCTTATATTAGGTACCTATTTCGCGAGTTTTCAAAGCGATCGTAAGAGACCAGTAATAAGGCTTAGCTCCAGCACGTTTGAATAAAGTCGTTGTGTGTATAGAGAGCTACTAGCTATACTGTTGTTATTCTCGTTCCGCGGGGTTTTAGGTATACTGTTGTTATTCTCGTTCCGCGGGGTTCTAGGTATACTGTTGTTACTCTCGTTCCGCAGGGTTCTAGGTATACTGTTGTTACTCTCGTTCCGCAGGGTTCTAGGTATACTGTTGTTACTCTCGTTTCGCGGGGTTCTAGCTGTACTGTTGTTACTCTCGTTCCGCAGGGTTCTAGCTATACTGTTGTTACTCTCGCTCCAGAACATTTCTGGTGTCTGCATTAGAGTTACACGGTGTCCTCTCGTCTTCAATAAATCTGCGTGTTATTTATGACTTCCTGGATCTATTAAGATTAAGAATGTTGAATTTGGCTTATTGAAGCTGAGTTACCAAGACTGAAGTTAGCAACATGTAAATATGACAACCACGAAGCCATTTTGTCCAATATTTTGTAAAGGGAGTCCTGTGGCGAGATATCTTTAAAAAAGAAAGTTAAGTAAGAAATAGTGACATTGTAGTTTACCCTTTATATGTATACCATATTGTAATAGTATAAGTTTGACACACATTTTGTGCTATGAATATGAATTATTGTTGTTAATGATACAATTGTCTTACAGATGCGGTAATTTTGTATATTAATGATTGTTGTAATAATACAAATTTCCCGATTTATTAACAAGCATTGTTACAATTGTAGAAACATCCCACACGTTATATTGTATATACAGAACTTGTAATAATAC